CAGTGAATTGATTGACTCTCGAACAACCAATTCACCACTATCAATCAAGGAAGCTCTCTTAACCTAATCAGATTCTATCTATCATAGGTTAAAGTGGAAATCAAGAGAAGATGATCAGGCTTCAATTGACTCTATAAATCATGCCTCAATCGATTATAATCAAACAATATAGCACCCAAAACTTCATACAAGAAATATCCTAACACATAGAACTAGGGTTCCTCAAAACCTAAGCGAAGGGAAGTTACTCCATAGAGAAGAGAGAGACTGCAGAAATCTGATCTAGATCTTCAATCTCCATCTCCAAGCTTGATTCCCGAGCTCCAATGGCGAAGAAATCCTCCAAAATAGCTCCAAGAATGTTCCCAAGTCGCTCTCTCTCTCTCTCTGTCTAGGGTTCGTCCCTTGGGTGTTTGGGAACCAAAACCCCGCTCTCCCCTTTCCTTTTGCTGAAAATCGGGTTTTAACCAGAAATTTCCGATCACACGGCCAGGCCACACGGTCGTGTGACTTTCCTAGATGCCCGTGTGAGGGCTCGGTGATTTCTACACGGCCACATGGCCAGGTCACACGGTCGTGTGGGTTTTTAGGCGTGCTTGTGTGGCTTGCTCAGCCTCTGTTTAATGCTTCGTTTCTCCCTCGTCCGGACTCCAAATCAGTCGCCGTTTGATCCTAGACGCTCGTAGTCTCTTCCTCTTTCTTTTCATGACAAAATTACATGATTATTTGTCCATAATATGAGGTATAAGTCCATTATTCCTCAGGTCATGCTCGTGTTTCTTCTCCCGAATTGCCGAATGATCTCCGATTGACTTCAAACTTGCGCCTATGCTTCAATTTACATGCTAGGACCTGAAATGTGACAAAGGAACACAACCTAGCATAAAATATGCCAAAGAAGTGATAATGCAAGGTTAAACGATCAAGAAACAAAGGGGAAAACATGTGTAAATATCGAGTCATCAAATCCCCCCAAACTTAACCGTTTGCTTGTCCCCAAGCAAACCTAACTCAAACCAATGCAGTTCTCCAGACCTCTATAGCAACAAACAACCCCGATCATGAGAAGAAGTGGAAGTAAGACAACCAGTTCATGGATAAAGGGACTCACACCATTCACAACCAAGGACTCGTTGTACCAGGGTGCTCTTTCACTTCATTTCACCGTTGGAACCCCTTTTTGCACTTTCATTTACATTTCTTTTTCTCTTTTTTTTCTTCATTCACTTGGCGGGGGTTCCAACTGCAGTCTTTTTCATGGTCGACCCTTATTAGTCGAGCAAGAGCAATTTTGGTACACCTGGCACTCGCCAGGGTACTTCTTTTAACTCCTTTTCCTCAATTCGTGTGGAGGGTCAATGAAATTAAAGGGGGTCGGAAGCTCTATCCGTGCCCTTAAAAACACATCCTCGAGTAGGCAAACCGTTCAACGGGTGGAAGTTTTACTTGTACTGGAGACAGCTTAGCTTCACCTTGTAGGAGTACCCCACTAAGTATCACTAAAATCTCCTCCAAAACCCGATTTTGTGCAATGAACGGTGCCACACACGTTGGGCTTACCCCATGTTTAAGATTTTTGATGATTTCGACATGGAGGACCAACTGCTTTTCATTTGCCACATGAGCACCCTGTTCAATACACGAGTCCATAACACAATTCAAATAGAGTCCACATTACCATATGAATTCAATGGTCTTAGCTCCACTAATTCACAAAATCAACTGACACAGCAGAGAGCTAGATAGGAAAAATCTTATACTTCAACATCCTCCATAGTGCTACACTACCTCCCTAGGTTGCACATTACTATAGAGACTGTCAATTCAAAGCATACTGAGCAGGCAATTTGCAAGGAAACACGTACTTAGAGCCCTCAAATTTAAAATAAAATTTGTACAGTGGACTAGCCTCCAAGGACACAAACAACCAAACATTCACCCGCATACATAATCGAACATCCCCCCACACTTAAGCACGACATTGTCCTCAATGGAGGAAAGATAAGGAGGGTAGAACGAAGTTACCAGATCAAGGGTGAATGATGATGGACGGGGTAGGCGGTGCATTCCAGGAAGAGAGAGTAATCAGAACACAAACACCACACAAAATCTCACAAAGGTTGAGTTATTGACTCTAAAATCAAATAACAAAACTGACTCAACCGAGGAGAAATAGAGAAAGAAATTCAAACCGACTGGTTGGGTTGCCTCCCAACAAGCGCTTCTTTCACGTCGTGAGCCGGACGATGACTCCTAAGTTTCGGTCCATGCTAGAACCTCCTTGAAGTTGAGGTTCTTGTCAATGAGGTGGAGTCGCAAGTCACGAGCATGTGGTATGACTGGTGATGGAGGCTCGTGCACTTGATGCAGATGAAGTCTCCATCCTCGAGATCTCTTCTTCTCTTCTCTCGTCCCATTGCCCCAAACTAGATATGACAACATCGATTGGCCACCATCGGTCCACCAAGAGGGTCCGATGTCGATGTGGCCTTGGTCTGGCAAAGAGACACTACAAATGGGTCCTTGCTAAGTAGTTCCTCGAAGTTTGGTGGGGATATTACTTGTATTATAGGGCCGGTGCAAGCCTCTTCCACCTCAACTTCATACTCAGCCTGGACACCACTCGCTTCTTCAACCCCCCTTCCTTCTTCAAAATGTGGTCTCTCTCCTCGGAAAAGATCAAGAACTACCTCTTCTTTGCTTTCTTCCTCATCCTCCACAACTTCTTTCCTCACCCTTTCTCTCTCTTCTTCTTCCATAACTGATTGGAGAGCAAGTCGCCATGCAAGGTTCTCAATAAGTTCAGCTTGCATCTCCTCACTCGGGCCCAGCATGTCAGAGCAGAAATGGGGAAAGTTGTGATCTACCACCAGAGGATACACTTGATCATGATTATCATGGGAGCTTTCCTTGACAACTTCTGTATGCTCCTCAACATCCTCATGATTGCCTTCTTCTTCCTCCACCTCTACTTGTATGACAGCATAAAGGTTGTCTTGAGAAAACTGTGAACAGGCTTTCTCAATGACCTCTATGTGCTCCTTTATGCTCTGAAGGGTATCCTCTGTTTCACGGGGAAATGAGAAGTCAGTTTGGGCAATGGCCTGGATATGAGGATCCATCTCGGGAAAGGATCTCTCAGGTACTTGAGCAATCTGCTCCACGAGAAGCCTCAAGTGCTAGTTTGGATATGGCTGTGGAGTGTAGCATGGCTCTGCCGGATCGCCCGTGAAGGCTGTGGCGAACCCAAGATCTGATGGTCCTTCTTGTTGTGGGAGGAATTCTTCTTGATAAGGAGATTGTTCTTGAAATACCCAGGGGTCTGATTGTTCTTCGTAGTAGGGGGTTGGTACTGAAACCCGACTCCATAGTCTTCTCCTCCTTGGTTACTCCAGGGAGTCTCAGGGTAATACCACTCGGATGGTGGTGGATACCCCCAATGGTTGGAGAAGCCATTAGGATCCATGATTCAGATCTACACCAACAAAACAAAAAAAACACCCAAGTGAAAAGCAAGGGTGGAAAAAAAACGCTAAAGTAACAAACTTCTGCCTTTCCTAATAATCTAGAAAGTCCTCGGCAACGGCGCCAAAAACTTGACACACTAAAACACAACACCTAACAATGGCCAAGTGTAACCAATGAAAGGGACTGCAGTATAGTGGCACAAGTAATAAATATCGAATCCACGGGTCTCTAGAGTTGCTATTACTCAGCTTCAGTTCATTATCTAGCAAACTAGATTAAGGATTGATTTATAAACTACTCTACTGACTACTCTACTAATTACAAGTTGGGAACTCACTTAGGTATGGTTCCCCCTAGCTCCTCAATTAGGTCCAAGTTGCAATTACTTTTGGTTGGTCTACTGTTGATTAAACTGCGGAAGATCCTAAATTAGCTTGGAATCTCTTAAGCTGACCAAGCCCTCTTAGACAGAATACCCGGCAGGCGACTAGCCTTCACCGGGGTAGACTGCTAAGGCGATTCACACAGATCTCCACTACAGGAATGAATTCCAGTACAAAGCAGTGAATTGATTGACTCTCGCACAACCAATTCACCACTATCAATCAAGGAAGCTCTCTTAACCTAATAAGATTCTATCTATCATAGGTTAAAGCAGAAATCAAGAGAAGATGATCAGGATTCAATTGACTCTATAAATCATGCCTCAATCGATTATAATCAAACAATATAGCATCCAAAACTTCATACAAGAAAGATCCTAACACATGGAACTAGGGTTCCTCAAAACCTAAGTGAAGGGAAGTTACTCCATAGAGAAGAGAGAGACTGCAGAAATCTGATCTAGATCTTCAATCTCCATCTCCAAGCTTGATTCCCGAGCTCCAATGGCGAAGAAATCCTCCAAAATAGCTCTTAGAATGTTCCCAAGTCGCTCTCTCTCTAGGGTTCGTCCCTTGGGTGTTTGAGAACCAAAACCCCGCTCTCCCCTTTCCTTTTGCTGAAAATCGGGTTTTAACCAGAAATTCCGGATCAAACGGCCAGGCCACACTTCCGTGTGACTTTCCCAGATGCCCGTGTGAGGCTTGGTGATTTCCACATGGCCACATGGCCAGGTTACACGGCCGTGTGGGTTTTTAGGCGTGCCCGTGTGGCTTGCTCAGCCTCTATTTAATGCTTCGTTTCTCCCTCGTCCGGACTCCTAATCAGTCGCCGTTTGATCCCAGATGCTCGTAGTCTCGTCCTATTTCTTTTCATGACAAAGTTCCATGATTATTTGTCCATAATATGAGGTAGAAGTCCATTATTCCTCGGGTCATGCTCGTGTTTCTTCTCCCGAATTGCGAATGATCTCCGATTGACTTCAAACTTGCGCCTATGCTTCAATTTACATGCTAGGACCTGAAATGTGACAAAGGAACACAACCTAGCATAAAATAGGCCAAAGAAGCAATAATGTAAGCTTAAACAATCAAGAAACAAAGGGGAAAACATGTGCAAATATCGAGTCATCACCCTTCTCCATCTTGTCATCAACCGCCTTTGAGCCCGCCTTTCCTGTACTTTAGACATAGGGCCAGCAGAAGATACATACTCTTTTCTTGAACCAGTTCCTTTCTTCCAAGTACCCTAGTCCATCTGTTCATAACGCATCTCTGCAGATTGACCAGCTTGATTCCTTTCTCTATTAGCCATCTGGTACCCACGACCATAACCACCATAATAGTTTTGTCCACTCCTCCCCTTGTATCCAGCACCTGAGCCTTGAACTGTATTGTACCGCTGAAGCGGCCCTCTCCCATATCCACGACTTCCTCCATATTCATGAACTCGTCCATCTTTCTTCCAAGGAACCAAACCTTGACCATGCCTCTCCTGTCTTCCTCCACGCACTGGATCATCACAGTTCGCCTCAGTGTTCTGAGCTGACAGCCCCAGCTTTGCAACACCTGGTGTAGCATCCGCAATCACAGCTTGTTCCTTCTCTTGACCCTTCTCTTTCAAATTCTCCCCCGTCGGGGCAACACCTCCTGTTTGAGGATTAATCCAAACTTTGCTTTGAGGTTTTTGCAGCAAATAATAAGTTAATATAATTCCAAGTCAGACTAGACAGACTAAGCAATACTACAAACAGAAACATTGAAAAATTAATTAAAACCTATCCACTATCATCCTATTTCTTCTTAGCAAGCAACAACCAGAGGAGGATGCTTCTCAGCGAGAGGGACACGATTGAAGCAAGGCAGTAAGGACTTAGCCCGATGCTTATGACAACCACTGTGCTAGCGAAACCCAATATCATCATCAGTAACAACCCTGTCAAGCAGAACAGGACCAATGCCATCACCGACGGTGTCACAACCAGTAGCTGCATCAGCGGCTCCTCCAATTTAAGTCCTTGCCAGTCCATCAGCACCAGCTCCTCTTCCTCCCTGAGGAGGGGTTCCTCTTCCTGGTCCAATAAGCGGTCTAATATGAATATGGTCAGACCCATTCTGCCAATGAAGATCAATATCCCAGCCACCACCGATCGCGTGATGCAGCTAATGACCAACGCCATCACCGTCGTGACTAGGACCATCAACATCTTCAGCTGCTCCATTATCTAATTACGCCCTAATTGCCCGTACGCCATCTGCTGCAGAAGATCGAATTCCGCCATACAAAACCTCCATTAGGGCATTCAGACTTCCATTGTGAGACCTCAGTTGGATATTGACCTTAATGAGTTTGCGTCACCAAGTATCACTCTCCCTGGCATATACTTCTTTTTTCTAGCTCCTTTGTCCTCTAAAAGTCCTTCAATGCTTGATCCAAATTTTCATTTGTTTATGTTTTTCCTTCACATGCACAGCAACATACCAAACAGGCATAAAATGATAATAAAACATAATCTAGGTCTATAAAACACACAATGATCAAATACTTGAGATTTAGGCACAAAATCTTACTAAATATGCATTGACAGAAGGGGAAAATATATCAAATATTAGTATAATAAACACTATAATTTGAGTGTTATTAGTCGTCCGCAAAAGGTTACATCTCCCCTTTATTGAACCTTGCCCATGTTAAAGCCATAGATACTTCCATCCTCTCTCTACTTGGCAAGCATGTGAGAGGGAACATCTATCACCAACACAAATAATTCAGAAAATAAAGAGCATTCTTTACACACTCCCTTTTGTGTTCGAAAGGACCATTATTCTCCACCGACCACCATTGACCAAGATCGAAATAATCGAAGACCATATAGAACCTTTGATCCACTGCCGCCATTATACTGAAAAATCCCAAACACTCCAAAACCTTGAATGACAGCCCCAACTAACATTGTTAACAACATTCTCAATGTCGAGTTTGAACATAAGACCCATCTTTTAATCTTTCTCACCTTGTCCAGTAATTCTGGCAATCAAAGTGGCCTCCAAAATATGTCTTCCTTGAATCGTAGCTTGCTAGTTTAGAGAGATGATTCCAGGCACGATTAACACCGTTCTACTAACAAAGAGTATGTTGGAAATTTTTTTCAAAACATCTTTTAAATAAATAAAAATGTGTAAAATCTTTTATTTCCTAAATGATATGTTTCTTTGGTGTCAAACAAATAAACGAAGGGGTAACAGTGTCCTAAAACTCTTTAAAGGCATTCACTAGATCTTGCTTAATAGGGCCCCACCACTTTTTATTTAACTCTAGCGTGAATCAATCAGCACTCGGTGTTTTTTTCCATCACTAGACTATATGGATCTTCCAATCTCATGTCCAGAAATGATCATAACTCTGCCGTCAGAGCAACTCCCTGAACCAGAAACCGAAACCTAACTCCGAGGAGGGGTCAACGCCAGAAACGGAGGCCTAGGTCCCTGTCTCTCTGCTGTGTCCGCTGATCCTAACGAGTCTCAAGGATCTTCTTCTCGATCGATAATATATACACTTTTTCGATTCTCTCAAACAAAATACACAAATCGGTAAGCTAACTTCCAACCCATTCCATGACAAAAACAAGTTGGCATGAACAACAAAAAAATATAGAAAGAGGCCCCAAGCCCAACACTGAAAGAGGCCATCCCATTCAGCCCAACCCGCTAAACCATCCAGCCATTCAAACCATTTGGCTCCGACCCGACCGACGTTTCTTCTCCCCTGCTGCCGGCTGCAACATCAGAGAGGCTCCACCTGCGTACAATCCTTCGATTCGGTTGACTTTCTCTAGTTTTTTTGAGCTGGGAATCCGAGGCCCACCTCCCTCGGTCATCTCATGATGCCCGGTTAAAGCAAACGAAAAATATATATTAGGGTTTGAATCTGTTAGAAGTGTAGGTAGCAAAGTGTAATTAGTCCTTTTAGGTTTAATTACGTTCATGCCTTTGATAGGGTTAGACGACAGTGTATATATGTTGATAGTCCTCATTCGTGTAACCTAAGAATTCTTTGGGCTAAGATTATACGATAGACTCTGAGAGGTTGTTCCTTTCTGTGGATTAGTCTCAACAATACTCATTGGGGATACCATGTTAATCCGCTGTGTTCTTTCGGTTTTGTCTTGGTTTTCATGGTATCATAGCTTCAGGTGTGATCCAGGAGGTCTTCGGCTCGTTTGCTTCCTTGTTTTTAGCTGTTCAGGTTTCTAGATTTTGGGTCGGCTGCGTTGGTTCAGCTGCGTCGCCTCTTCCTTCTTCGGTTTTTGGTCTCACGCTGCGTTGGTGCCTCCTTCTATTTTGGTGTTTTTTTTTCTGTTTGTGGGCTTGTCTCTGGCTTAGGATTATTCCAGCGCAGTAGGGAGGTCCGGTTTCATCCCAGCGAAGCAGGTAGCGCAGCCGGTTCAGTAGTCTTTTGCTTATTACTTTTGTGGGTTTAGTTCTGCCTTCGTGGAATTATGGATTCGTCAAGGCTTGATGGGATTTTTGTGCGCTTCGATGGAATGAATTTCCCACTTTGGGAATTTCAGTTTAGGGTTTTTGTTTAGGGTCGGAGGTTGCTTTCTATTCTTGACGGGACTCAGCACGAGCCCGCTGCTACTGTCGAGGCTAAGGTGCGGGATGAGTGGGCGATTCATAATGCTCAGGTCACAAACTGGATCCTGAGCTCTATGAACCCGACCATTGCGTTAAGTTTACGTGGGTTCAATTCTGCCCATGCCATGTGGCGGCATTTAACTGATTTCCATTCCCATACCAGCGCGTCTAGGAAGTTCGAGTTGGAGGTTGAGATTGCTCAGTTATATCAGGGGGATATGGACGTCAGGTCTTATTATCAAGCTGCTGCTAGTTTATGGATGGAACACAACTAGTTTATGGACGTCAGGTCTTATTATCTCCAGTGCTGCCTCTGCTGAAGTGCTTCAGGAGTGCACTAGCTCTCGTACGATGCATTTTTTTGATGAAACTCAGGCTCGAGTTTGAGGGTATCCGATCCTCTCTGCTGCATCGTAATGTTACAAAACTCCAGGATATTTTGGGAGAGTTAATTCGCGAGGAGACTCGTTTACGGAGTCAAACTAAGCTGGATCTTCATGGAGCGGATTCTACGGCTGCCTTTGCTTTGGCCGATCCTTCGATTCCGCAGCAGGCGTTTGCGGTTCGCCCCGAGCGACAAAAGTTCCAACGCTCCTCTGTCAGTGAAGTGATTTGTTATTTCTGCCGGGAGCCGAGCCATGTTCAACTCCATTGTCCAAAATGCAATTCGTCCGATCCTAGCTCGTCGAGGGTGAGGTCGTGGTGGTCCTGGTTCCTCTTCTCGCTCGATGTCGTCTGGTGCTTCCTTTTTGGTCATCCGGCCAAGGCTCCAACTGGATTTGCCGTCGCACCTGCATCTTCTTGCTTGGGAATCACTGATGAAACTATCCGTCACATGTGACATGAAGCTGTCCGGGATATTTTCCCATCCGCATTAGGGTCCGTGTTCACAGCTGGTATGCCTTCTCCTCTCTCTTGTACTTGGCTTCTCGATTCCGCAGCTTTTAATCATATGACCATCACTCGATCTTCGTTTAGTACTCTTCGGCCGAGTAGTTCTGTTTAGCTCCAGGTTGCCGATGGAGCTTTTTTACCGGCTCATGGAGTTGGCACTATTTGTAGCTCAAATTTAAATCTCCGGGATACTCTTTATGTTCCAAAATTGGTTCCCAATCTTGTGTCCGTGGAAAAATTGGCCGAAAACCGATGTCGAGTCATTTTTTATGCACATGGTTGCGTGATGCAGGACAGGAGAAAGGGGACAGAGATAGGCCACGGGAGTAAGCATGGTATAGTGTACACCTTGGATCAGCTGGAGGAGTCTGGAGCCTCGCAGTTACCTGAAGTATGTTCAGGGGAAGAGGTCACCTGCAACTCGAATTCGGGAGGGGTGGAGCCGGCGCCTACTCGGAAAGTTGATATTAGTGATTTTTTGCATTCAGTTCAGTTAGTTGGGTTTTCTTTTAAATTGGCGAACTGGGATTTATGGCACCGTAGATTGGGTCATCCCCGTTCTGCTCGTTTGATTGAGATGTTTAAGAACAAGCTATTATCTGGATCTTATTCTTCGGATTGTTGTAGTTCTTGTGTGCATTGTGTGGAAGCAAAGTTATCTCAGCAGTCATTCAGTTCTAGTACTACGGTGTATTCTGAACCCTTTGACTTAGTGCATACAAATTTGTGGGGACCATCACCTATTACGTCGCGTATGGGGTATCGGTACTTTGCATTGTTCATTGATCATAACACGCATTTTGCCTGTATTGATTTTCTTCATCAGAAATCAGACTTACTCGCAGTAGCTACCGAGTTTCTGCAGATGGTTCATACTTAGTTTGGGCAACAGTTTAAGATAATCCGTTCTGATCCGGGTGGTGAGTTTACTTCTGGTCCCCTACTTGCTCTTTTTAAAGCTCGCAGAATTCTACCTCAGCAGTCTTGTCCTGAGGTATCACTACAGAATGGACTGGTTGAACGGCGACATCGGCACGTTCTTGAGCTCACCCGGGCGATTCTTTTTCACTCAGGTGTCCCTTCGAGTTTTTGGGTCGAGGCAATTCACATAATTGTCTATCTAATTAATCGGCAACCTACTCTTGTTTTGTCACATTGTTGTCCATATGAGGTCTTGTATGCTAAGCGTCCAAACTATGGTTGGTTGAAGGTGTTTGGATGTGTTTGCTATGTTCTGTTGCCCCGTCGTGAGCGTCATAAGCTTCCTCCTAAGGCTGTTAAGTGTGTGTTTGTTGGCTACAGTGACAAACATAAAGGATACGTTTGCTATGATGTGGTTAATAGGCGTATCCGAGTCTCTTGTCATGTGGCCTTTCTCGAGCACATGAATTATTATGGAAAGGAGCAAGATTCTCGAGATGATTTGAAATTTCTTCTCCCTGTGTTGGACCTTCCTGACATTCCAAATCCAGCCGTGGAGTTAGATGATGATAATGGCCCTCCATCGCCTCCTACAGGTTCTCAATCCTCTTCCTCTTTATCATCTAGCTCCCCTACTATTTCTTCACCCACATCCACGCAAGCTTCTTCTGCTCCGAGGCCGCCGCCAGAACCACCCCTGAGTCGTTCCATGTGTGCCACTCGGGGACAACCACCTCCTCGTATGGCAGACTACTTCGCATTTTCAGCAGCTCCCATTGTCGTCCCAGCCACGTATAAGCAGGCGTGTGGTAATCCTGACTGGGACGAGGCTATGACAGTTGAAACTCGTGCTCTTGAAGCTCAGCATACCTGGGATATTGTCCCACTTCCCGTTGATCATTCGGTTATTGGCTCGCGGTGGGTGTATAATGTGAAGATGAGACCGGATGGGTCTTTAGAACGGTTCAAGGCTCGAGTAGTGGCCCAAGTTTTTTTTCAAGAATTTGAGATTGACTATGAGGAGACTTTTGCACCAGTAGCAAAGATGCAGACAGTTCGGACATTACTTGCAGTTGCCGCTTTGAAGGGTTGGAGTTTGACACAGTTGGATGTGAAGAATGCCTTCTTACATGGAGATTTGAAGGAAACGATCTATATGGAGTGCCCTCTTGGTTACTTGAATGGGGATAAGTTGAAGGTTTGCTTGCTTCGTCGATCTCTTTATGGTTTAAAGCAGGCACCTCGTGTCTGGTTTGAAAAATTCCAGAGTACGATTCTGTAGGCTTGTTTTCAGCAAAGTGATAATGATCCTTCTTTGTTCCTTCGGCGAACTTCTCGTGGTCTCACTGTTCTTTTCATTTATGTTGATGACATGGTGATTAGTGGCAATGATCAGGAAGGAATTGCTTATCTCACTAAAATTCCAAGAGATGCCTTTAATCTAAAGGAGCTAGGGGATTTATCATATTTCTTAGGACTGGAGGTTCATGGATCTGCAGCTGGTGTGTTAATTTGCCAACAAAAATATGTGGTGGATTTACTGGAACAGGCTAACATGGAGGACTGCATTCTTTGTGCTACGCCCATGGAACAAAATTTGAGGTTGAGTCGAGACGATGGTGAGATCATTCCAGATGCTTCCCTTTATCGTAGTATAGTGGGCAGTCTTATATATTTGACTCATACTCGGCCTGATATTGCTTATGCAGTACAGGTCGTTAGTCAGTTCATATCAGCTCCCCGGTCCCTACATCTTGTTGCAATTATGCGGATTTTATGTTATCTTCGCGGTACGCAGGATGTTGGGCTCTTTTTCCCGGCAACTGGTTCTTTAGAGATAGAGGCATATGCCGATGCTGACTATGCTGGCTGTCAGGATACTCGACGTTCCACGTATGGCTGGTGTGTGAAAGTGGGTTCGTCTTTCATTTCTTGGCGCTGCAAGAAGCAGGATCGGGTGTCGAAGTCATCTACGGAAGCAAAATATCGATCTATGTCAGAAGTTACTTTAGAGCTGATTTGGCTGCGTCGTCTGTTAGTTGAATTCAGAGTGGTTAGCTCTTCTCCTATGAGACTCTATACAGACAATACTAGTGCGATTAAGATTGCTACCAATCCGGTGCTCCATGACCGTACGAAGCATATTGAGGTGCATGTTCATTATATAAGGCAATTGGTTGAAGAAGGTCAGGTTCTTTTATCATATATTACTTTGGAGGATCAGACGACGGATCTGCTTACTAAAGCGCTTGCTACTTCACGACACTGGTTCCTAGCTCACAAATTGATGTTACGTAGGTACCATCAATTTGAGGGAGGGTGTTAGAAGTGTAAGTAGCAAAGTGTAATTAGTCCTTTTTAGGTTTAATTACGTTCATGCCTTTGATAGGCTTAGACGACAGTGTATATATGTTGATAGCCGTCATTCATGTAACCTAAGAATTCTTTGGGCTAAGAATATACGATAGACTGTGAGAGATTGGTCCTCTCCGTGAATTAGTCTCAATTATACTTGTTGGGAATACCATGTTAATCCGTTGTGTTCTTTCGGTTCTGTCTTGGTTTTCAGAATCCAGCTTGCATGCATCCCCAAGAATCGATTCATAGAAATTAAGAGCCAAAACTAGATTTACCTGTCTCTAACAAGCCGGAGTTTGTCGCCGCTGCCTATGGTCATCCGGAGCCAACTGCCGCCTTCGCCACTCACCTCCATCTCGCAGCTAGTCATCGATCTCTGCCGCTGGGCGACGACTGCACCGCTGCCCCCGAGCCGCGCCACTGCAAACCGCTGCTATGGAGATATCTCGCAAAGCCTCAGATGCATGTTGGATACAGACCGTCTTTGCTGATGTTCACGTCCCAATCTCGCATACTCACTCCCAGCAGTTACAACGCTTATACACCTGCCGACTTGAGAAAATGCCTAATCAATTAGTTTGCGTAAACCTACTTGCTAAGAAATATTAAACCAGTTTATTACTGGAAACAAGAAAAGCTAACTTTGCCAAACAATGGATATTGTTGTTGAAGCCTCCTGTGTCGACATTAAAGCCAGTAGTGTACCAAATGTTTGATGTCAAGAAGTGGCAAATAAGTAAGGCAACAAGGTCCATGAAGCATCAGTGGCACCTCCAACTTCTACCAAAATCGATCTTACCCATTAAGAGTCATGGTCACTTGGATCCTGCATAGAACAGGAACACAAATTTTAAGCTGTCAGCAGCACGTTGGATACTGTTGAATTTGTGAGTTCATACCAAGTCAACTGGCACTATTCGTGCAGCTTTAGATTTTGATGATGCAATTCCTACATGCTGAAAGTACCCGATCACCTCAGATTGAGCCAATGCCAGGGCAGAAAATACCATCTGTAGACAAAAGGAGTCGCTACGTAATGAAATTCCATTCAGATTACCTAAATAACTTGTATGAGATACTAGAGATTAAATTCTTCAATTGAAAAAACTACCTGAGTATTAGTCCAAATATATGTGAACCATTAGCCAGAGATGAGGACTGAAAGGAGCCCTTAACATTTGGAAACATAGAAACAAAAGACAGGAAAGGCTTAAACCAGCTTCAGATATAAATCCAATTTAAGAAACCAACCTTTTCCAGAGGATAGGCCTCTGTTTCCAAGGTTTCTGGCTTATTCCAGAAAGCACATAAATTACTAGTCAACAGTCAACATCAAACCCCCACATAAACTAGACTTTACGATATCCAAATCACCAAAAAACAGCCCATAAAATTCCAGTTTCAAACCCATATAAACACACAAATTCTCAGAATCCAACATACCATTACCACAGATAAATTTCCAAGATTAAACGCCATTACCATAGCCCTATCCAAACACCAAACTCCCCAAATAAAAAATAAACACCACAACTACCACCAAGCTTTCAATTTCAAAACCCACAGTTTCCACTTTCAATAACACCCTAACCAAAATCCCAGATTTAAGAAAACCGACATATTCGTCCCCAAAAATCATATTAGCACTAACACCATGAACCATTGAACCTCGAAGCCAAAAAATGACCCCAAGTACCAATCATTGTTCCAAACTCGAGTTTCTCCACAATACAGATTTGAACCCAACCGCTCAAATCATTGGATGAACCTCCACTATCACAAAACTTCCATGAATCATTTCTCATTCATACCACCATATCAGATTTATCATAATCATGCACATCCACAAATCACCCCCCAAATATTTTTGAATTCCCATCACAGATTCCTATCTTGAAAACACAACATAAGCCTTAATCACAAGCAATAGCAGTGTTTTTAGTTTTGATTTCTCTACCTTCACTTTCGTAGTTTTATCCCATTTTGCTGTACTTTAACCAAAACCTTGCGATTAAGTCCATTCCCCAAATACCAAAGGTAAGATAACCTAACGGTAAAGCTGCCGCAACAGTGAAGGTTTGAGAGTTGCAGATCCCAGGTTCAAATCCAAGCGAGGCCCGTTGGTGTTCTCGGAGGTACAAGGCTGCTGAGGGTGAAGCCCTGTTGGCGTCAAATTAAATGCAGGTGGCCCCCAGGTTTAGTAGGACCCGCTGTCACAAAGTGGCACGGGGGCTGAGATTCGTGGGTATAAAAAAAAGTCCATCCCCCAAATAAACAAACCAATCGACGCAATAAACCTAGCATTTTATCTAAGTTTTGAGTGGCTAATCGCCAAACCGCCAAAAATCAGAATCCCACCATTCAAGTAGGGCTGGCAATGGGGCGGGTTCTCCTAAACCATCCCCATCCCCGCTTTTAAATATCCAAACCAGTACCCGCCCCATACCCATTCGGAGGAAGGTTTTGCAAACCCATCCCCATACCCGTGGATTTCGGGTACCCATGGGTAATACCCGCCTCGTACATCCAACATCATTGTACCAAAGACTTCACATGAATTATAACGCTAAACAGACTTACTATATCATTAATTTTACAAAGATAAAATCATTGTTAATACGGTTCAAATCCTATTATCCTAAAACATCTATTATTCAATAAGATAGAGTATAATATTTTTCAATTCATTAGTTTCTAACTCTGATACATCTACTAAGTAATACTTACCTAACATAATATCTTGTTAACAAGAGGAAAAAGTGAAAGAATGAAGGGAGAATTGACGTAAAGGAATAAATTTGTATTTGGGTGGTCACTCAATTGCATGTATACTGTATATTGTCTTAAGTTACCTTCACTAGCATTGATAGGTTTCAATTTGATACATGTATTATTTATATGTGAAGAAATATTGTTGGTGGGGCCGGTATGAGTATGAGTATGGGGAGGGAGAGGCTAAAACCATACCCGCCTCATACCCATCAAACTTTTTGCGAGTTTTATCCATACCCGCCCCATACCCAGTTAATGCGGAGATTCCCCGCGTTGACTGGGTCGGGGACGGATGGATACCCGCGATCATGAGTTTGATTGCCATCTCTACATTCAACCAGAAAATCAAGCAAAAATATATCAACTCATTTCTTCTAAAAACTTAAACCAACACCAAAATCGAATAGAAACCATACATGCGGGACAAATATCACCGTTTCGGGTCGCCTCTGTTGAGCTGCTCGCCGGCGTTGGCCTCTTCCTTCTTTTACCCTCGTCTTCTTTCCAAAAACCACAAACCAAGCAACAAAAGATAGAACTCGGAATCTAAGAAACCTAAAATATCTAAACAAAACAAGAACGAAACCAATCCTCACCCGTCGGTCGCTGCCGGTGATTCCCTTGTAGCCGACGTAGAGCCAAAGTTACTTATCTGCCGTTGAATTTTCTCTAGTTTTTTTTTTTGAGCTTCTGGCCAATTCTTCTTCTTCTTCTTCCCAACGAGCAGGGGAACCAAACCTGAAAGTTTCTTCTTCTTCTTCTTCTTCACAGCTCTCCACTTTCTACAACACACAAACAAAAAGAGACGAAAAAACAAAGAGACACTCGGTTCTTCTCCTTCTTCATCTACATCTTCCAGACGATTTCCTTCCTCTTCCTCCTCCCCACGAGCAGCGAAAACCAAGGCTCTCTACATCCCTTTTCTTCTTCTCAGCTCGAAAACAACACAGAAACACCCAAAAATTATTAGAAAAAACATACTCTTCCCCTTCTTGCTAGGGTCGACATCACAAACAAACGGAGAGCAAAAAAGAATACACAGTGGAATGTAAAAAAACCCTCCATGCTACCTACCTTTCAATAGACAACAGAACAAAAAGACTCCACTCATATTTCCCACTCTCCTCTTCTTCTTTCTTTAGCAACGCTCAAAACGCAACAACAACAAACACAAGAAAAACTAAAAAAAGAAGCAACTGCTGCAGCAAAAGTGGAGGGAAAACAGCTTCATCCCTTCCCCAAACTATAAGCTGAAGGTTGGTAATCATCATTAAGCACCATCATCCATGTACTTTCATCAAAGCATAAACAATATTCTTGCTTGTTCTGCCCTGTTTGTCTAAGTTTTACTGGTTTTGTTTCATCTTCTATATAACTTTTAACATCTCAATCTATTGAGACACAAATTTAAAAAAATGTTCGCAAGCAAACCAATAAAAAGCAATATTCAACCAAAGCTCAACTTTGTGCGGTATTTTAGAATACCTCTTTGGTTTTGAAGGAGCCCCTTCTAATCTTGAAACCTACCTCACCAAAACCATACACATTCAGTAAGCCTAATCTCAAACCAAAACCATCAAACAAACATTAACTCCCTAAATCGAAACCACAACCCACAGCATACATATTTCCAGATTCAGACACGCAAGCTACCATATCCATGCCACCATAAAAAAACATTAGAACTTCTTCCTTTTCCATATCCAAATTCCAAACACGCAAGCTACCATAAAACACAACTACTCATTTCTAGAATTCAGCCGACCAGCAAAAGCTAACACACAGGTAGGTATTCAGAGCTAGAGCTACCAACAATCAAATTAAAATAACCCCCAATGTCCCAAATCCAAGAACACTAGCACTCACCATCATCGTGCATCAGATATTCACATGGTAATACTTTTTGTTATTGTGAACCATTTAATCGAAATCCCAATCAATCCAAGTAACTTACAAGTTTCACCTTGAAACGAAATGATCAAAAAATAGGTTTTATTTTTCTTTATTAGACCCACCATTATATTTTGATAGAAACCTATTTCTAGGGTTCTATCGATAGGATTGGGAATTTGGGAATTGATTGAGATTTAGGGATTTAGAAGAGAATTTGGGGATTAGGAACAGAATTGGGGAAGAACAGAAAGAACGGCCGAAGCCTCGAGATAGAAGGATAGACGAGATTTGAGAGAGAAAGAGATTAGGGTTTTGGGGAAGGATAGCTTTTCTATTAATTTCTGCTTATTTGAACAAGGAACCCAAAGTAAATATTTATAGCTAAATTCCGGAAAACCTAATAGACTATCCTAATACGACTCAATGACTACTAACAATATCTAATAAGGGTTAATTGCAAGTTTGGTCATTGAGTTTTCTAAAAACGTTCATGTTTAGTCACTCAAAATATTTAAATCCATTAGTGATCACTCGAATTAGTAAAACGATCCACGTTCAGTCACTCTCCGTTAGTCTTCGTTAACACTGTCAGTCAATTGCTGACGTGGCAATAGAACTGCTGACTCACCCAATTTTAACCCGCCACATCACCAAATTCGTCCTGCCACGTCACTCAACCCACCACCTCATTTTCCCCAACCCAACCCATAAACCAACCCTTTAACATCGTGACCCAACCCTCCATCTCCACCCACCGCCGCCAAGCAATCGCTCATCGCCTCCAGAAGTCTATCCTCTCTCGTCCATTGCCATTCTTATCTCCTTGCAGTAGTGAATCCCCTACCAGTAATTAATTCCAATCCCTTCCCAGCCAAAATCCAACTCTATAAATCCCCCACCCCTTCTGAAATCCAAGAAAAGGAAACCCCAAATTGAAAAATCTCAGCTGTTTGTTTTGTGAAGATACATGGTGAATTAGCTTTCTTGTTCACTCTCTCTCCCTCTCCGGCTGCCGTCCTTCACGACCTCACCTCCCTCTTCTTCTCTTCGCGCTCAACTCATCAAGCTCTAGCTGCTCTTTGCCGTAGGTGCCACTGACGACGGCGACCGAGGAAGAATCTGGTGCAAAATCCCTTGAAAGCCAGAGAGGGATTTGGACTATGGCGGTGACAAGGGGTCCTCAACCCGCTCTGTTGTTGCATGTGCGAGATCCCCCAGCATTTCCCCGAACGGATTCACCCGCCACAACGGCGTGAAATTTTTTCCAGTGCCACTCAACTGCAGAATGTTCTTTTCAGAAAATGCCTTTCCCGACGCCGATGTGGATCTTCAAGAAGATGCCATTCCGCCCCCTTCTCCCACCAAGCACATCCATGTCGTTATCCGACGGCGGAAGGAGAAGAAGAAAGTAAAGGCGGACAACGACGGAGGGGAAGATAACTAAAGCGAGGAGGTGGAGCTGGACAAGCGATTTGGGTTCTCGAAAGAACTTGCGAGCAGATCCAAGGTTGGGGAAGAAGAGGGAAGGGGGCAATTTGCGTATGCTTGTTTCGATCAGAAAAGGTGATTGTTTAGGGTTTTAATATGAGGGGTCGGTTCATGAGGTTGGTTAAAAGAGTTGGGTAAACAAGATGATGTGGTGGGTTGAGTGAAGGTCGAATTTTGTGATGTGGCGGGTTAAAATTGGGTGAGTCAGCAGTTCTGTTTGCCACGTCAGCAATTGACTGACGGTGTTAACGGAGACTAACGGAGAGTGACTAAACGTGGACCATTTTACTTATTCGAGTGACCACTAATGGATTTAAATATTTCGAGTGACTAAACATGAACGTTTTTAGAAATCTCAGTGACCAAACTTGCAATTAACCCTATCTAATAATATCCTAATTATAGTAATAATAATAATTATGATAGAACCCAAAAATTAGGTTTCTATCATCCTCTCCTCCTTGAGACCAACCTTGCCCTCAAGGTTGAAAGACTCGACCCACTTTCCCACGTCGTCCGTGCACCTTGCGCCTTGACTCATCCACATCTCGCGTTTCCTTTTCTTTCAATCATACTCCAACTCGACTTGGGCTTCTTGCATTAATTTCTTTTGCCAATCCAACTCTTCGAATTTCACTTCTATGGGCCCACTACTGGCTTCCTTGACAAATTCAAACCTCAATAGCTTATCTCCCAATGGTATGACTCGATCAAGAATCTTGAACTCCAAGCTAGCGTCCCTTGCCGATCCATGCCTGTTATGAGTTCGGAACTCTGGACCTAAATTTACCTTCCTTGGAGCTAGCCCATACTCTTGCCTTGTTGTCTCTTTAATTGCTTTTGGGCTCTGTTCTTTAAAAAGCCCACATGCCTAGTCATTAAACCCACCATTTTCTTCATTCAAGTCCATTTTCTTCAAAGAACAGCCCACCCTGAGCCCAATTCGTTCCATAAGACTCAGCCCATAAAAATGCTCTTTCTCAACTCGCTTCTCCTCAACTCTCGGCCCATAATCAGCCCTTTGCTCCAACCAATTAATCTCAAACTGAGGCCCAGTTGGTTAAACCAACCAACCTAACCCGAGCTGAAGCGTGGTCATCCCACTCGGCTCCTCCCTCGGCCCGCTCCGCTGCTCGGCTAGGGTCCAGGAAGCTATCCTAGGGTTCGTGCGGAAGGACCCGATGTCACCGCCCTCCTTCCTCTGCTCGCTCGTCATTCACCCCTTTCTCGGCGACAATGGGCTTTTTTGACGGCGGAAAAGCCAGTCCACCTCCGTCTGCGGTCCCGGCGGCGACTCCTTCCTCTCAACTACCGAATCCGGCGAGACTTCCTTCCTAGGCGATGGACCCAGGCGAATCGGCTCCGCCTCTTTCTCCCGATCCGCCGTCTCCGCTTTCTTTTTCTTCTTCCTCGTATCCATCACCGTCGCCCTCCTTATTTCCCCGCGACGACGAGCTGCTCCTCCGTCGTCCTGTCTCTGGCGGCACGGAGGCCGAAAGCTCTTCCATCAATGTACGACTTTCTCGACCTCCTGCGACGATCGAGTCGGCTAGCAAGGGCGATGCCCCATTCGTGTTGTCTTTTGCCTCATTCTCCGCTGCATCACCCGCCGCAGCTTCCTCCTCCTCGGTCGTCTTCTCCTGCAGGTCATCCTCCGGCAACGCAGCCTCACTTGGTCGCTCCACCTCCGCCTCGCCGGGATCTCGTGTTGTCTCCTCCTGCGGTGGCTCGCTCGCTGCCTTCTCTTCAGCCAACAAATCTTCTTCCCCCGATGCGACGGTCAGCGGCAGGAGAATGGCAGCGGGTTCAACAAGCTACGTGCTTCCCGCTGCTGCTGATGAAGATTTTCTCCTAGGAATTTCAACGGTGAGTCGGCCGTACCTCAACCAAACGTCAAATTCTTCGGTATCGAAATCAGACCTGATCTTGATCTTAGTCTCAAAACACATCCATCGATTCTCGCCCTCCAATGGTCGTCTCCCACATATTGTTATGATGCCCGAGGAATACACCACATGTGCTCTCCTAAACCCAGGCAAGCGGACGAACACTCGAATGAATGTTGAGGTTACCAATTTAGTAACCCTGGGTATGAATTCTTCATATGCGTCCATCCCTGATTGAGAGTTGTGACAAACTCGCTATCGAATCGGGCTCTGATATCACATGATAGAAACCTATTTCTAGGGTTCTATCCATAGGATTGGGAATTGATTGAGATTTAGGGATTTAGAAGAGAATTTGGGGATTAGGAACAGAATTGGGGAAGAACAGAAAGAACGGCCGAAGCCTCGAGATAGAAGGATAGACGAGATTTGAGAGAGAAAGAGATTAGGGTTTTGGGGAAGGATAACTTTTCTATTAATTTCTGCTTATTTGAACAAGGAACCCAAAGTACATATTTATAGCTAAATTCCGGAAAACCTAATAGACTATCCTAATACGACTCAATGACTACTAACCATATCTAATTATATCCTAATTATAGTAATAATAATTATTATTATGACAGAACCCAAAAATTAGGTTTCTATCATGTTTACATCCATTACAGTTTATCATGAGTTTCTGTTTATGTTGTCTATGCTTGTTTCTCTTTAATCTGTTTCGTTTAAGTAGTATATTACATGCATACCTAATCTAAAGTCGATGCACTATGCTACCCCAAAACATGTAACACCTTAGGCGAATCCCACATCGACAAAGCACCGGGGAGGTCCATGGTTCATAAGTAAGAAACCGACCTCAACTGACAAGACGCGTTTTGTGGTGTAACGGAGGAGTTCATGTCAGAACTCCGAAGTTAAATGTGCTCAGTGTGGAGTACAACAAGGATGAGTGACCTTATGGGAAGTCATCCTGAATTGCACCCCAAGTTGAAATCCGTGCGGGTGTAGAGGCCCAAAGCGGACATTATCTTGTCGGAAAAAGGTTCGGGATGTTACAAGTGGTATCAGAGCCTCTCCGCGTCCCTCTTGAACGATGGTGGGACAAACCTCAACGACGGCGTTGAGTCCCAAGGGGGGGGGGGGTGTATGTAACACCTTAGACGAATCCCACATCGACAAAGCACGGGAGAGATCCATGGTTCATAAGTAAGAAACCGACCTTAATTGACAAGACGTGTTTTGGGGTGTAATGGAGGAGTTCTTGTGAGAACTACGATGTTAAATGTGCTCAGTGTGGAGTACAACAAGGTGTAGAGACCCAAAGCGGACAGTATCTTGTCGGAAAAAGTTTCGGGATGTTACAAAACAGATGTGGCCAACAAAAATAAAGAGCACCAAAGCACACACATTATAATCCAAAACACTCGCCATGAATCCCCAAGAATCCAGAGTTTCATTGATAACAAAATTTAAACAAAAATCCCCACTCTCCCCACCGGCGCTCGACGGCCTTTCCCTCAGATAGAACCCCTTAGAAAACACCAAACATCAAGAACCACGAAGAACAATTAAAACCCCAGATTTTGAATCTTTCACAAAACAGTCATCCAAGTATGGGTTAACTACTCTAACAATTCCCAAATTATTAAATCGATCAATTGAAAAACCTAAATCTAGCTTAAAGGCTTGAAAAGGGAGAAAGGATATCGCCAAACCGATTCTATTTCTTCATGTTCAAACCTGCCAAAATAAGCAAAAGAAGTTACGAATGGAAATTTAAAAATAAAAAAGAGATAAAACGAGAGATTTCACAAAAAAACATCCAAATCTACTACTCTAATCTACCTTTGGCCTAAACCACAAAAATCTTACTAAAAAAGGATCTATCTCCCTGTTATCGTCGTTTTCACTGCCGACAGTATTCAGGATCGCAATGGCGGCTCCCCTTCCTCTCCTCCTCAGCGGCCATTTCTCCCTTCATATGTCTACCTCTCGTCTCCCCTCGATCAGACCCAAAAATCAAACATAGTAATCAACATCAAACCCCACAACTCCCCTAAATCGACATGCAAACTCCGAAATCCTACCTCCGACCATCATTATTGGCATCAATCGCACTCGATGTCACTGTCTCGTTCTATCTCCGACGACATCTTCTCTCACTTTCTTCTCTTCGTCCAAAACATCAACCAAAAACCAGAAATAAAAATGGAGTCAGAACCCAGAGGAACCCCAAATCAGAATAAAATCCAAAATCAAAACCCTAAGATTCGACATGAAAAAGCAAAACAAAACCTAATTTTACCTCCGCCACCGTTAGATCCGTCATCGGCGCCCTTCGCCGTCTTCCACTGCACTGTCGTCCTGGATTCCTTTTTCCTTTCTCCTTGCATTTCCAGAAAGGAAAATAAAAGGGAATGGCTGGCTCCTTCTCTCGTCTTTGTCGGAGAACAGGCGGAGGTGAGACTAGAGGTGAAGGTGAGAGCAGATGAAGAAGGGGGAGGAATAAGCTTTCCTTTCTTCCTTCGTCGTTTTGGTTTAGAACTGACGTGAGACTGAGAGAGAGTGGGGGGACGAGGTTGAGAGTGAGAGAGAAGAGAGAGAGGGCCGAGCGGCGCCTAGGGTTATGATTTTTGGCTTAAGGAGGGATTATATACCCTTGAAGCTAAAATGACCAAACTGCCCTACCGGTTTTCACAGAAATTACGCCAATTGCCACCATCCTCCCCAAGAACGATGCGTCGTCGTCCAACCAAGACGCCCCCCAAGCGACGTCGTTTCATTCAAAACGACCTGAAGGAAGCTAAGCAAAAAGGCAATTCTGCGGGATTCGAACAAGCAACCTGATGCACACCGCACTGTGTTTCAAACCACTCGAGCTAGCGGTCAGTCATTGGAAAGATAATAACCTCAATTATTCTTAAAAATTAAATAAGTTTGAATACTTAACTTATAAAAGTCCTTAATTCGAAATGGTCAATATCTCATATTCGTTCTCGTGTTAAGTTTTCTTTCTCAATGTATCAATCCTTAACATTGTATTTCAAAGAATTAAAATTTGTTTCTCTTTACAATGTTCAACCTAAAACACGATCAGTAAAACGTGTTAGGGTTTCTTTCTAAAAACCATCTAACAATTTTTCTCCCATTAGAAACAATGTTAACAACTTTCTCTACATTCCAATGTGTGAGACTCAACATTTTGAATCCTTCATTTTAAACCGAACTACGTGGACTTTGATCCCAACTACTCGGGTACATAGGCAACCAATAAGTTTCAAGTCCAACTAAATGTTTCTAAAAAATTATGAAGCTAGCATTTTTTTTCATTACCAATCATGAGCATTCATACATCTTGCATATGCACAATCATATAATTTAGCAGACAATCATGCATTCATCTCATTTAGAACAGGGAGTAACTTAACTAAATCGAGATTTTCTAAAATTGTTTATCCACAAGAACAAAGTCAAACCCTTAAGTACTCAATCATATCCAAAGTTGTGCTCGTAACAGAGTTTCATGCCAGGAGGAAGTCGGTGACACCGAAAGAAGGTCAACGATACATGAAGAAATAAAATGACAAGTTGCCAGGTTAACGAGGATTTTGTCGAAAATTCAAAGAATAAGCCAATTATCCAAACTTCAACGACAACTCACTGCCTAATCATGGAGATCAACTGGCATACTATGAGACAAAGTTTGATTCTTGACCTGCATAATCAAATAAATGCTAGATATTTTACCATATTGAAGAAATGTACTAGCATTTGCTATCATCATGAAGGATATATGGTTATTTGCATTTCCACATATTTGGAACATTGTGTGAGTAATACCAATATTGAATAAGAACATTGCAACAATGATTCTTTCCTTTTTCTTCAAAATGACCAATATCTCTTTCAACTCCTTAAAATCAACTTCTATCCTCTAAAAATAGGAACCTTAAAATGCATTTCATGTTTTCAAGTTAAGCCATGAGATTTTCATATCGAGCGACTATAAGCAACCCACTGGTGTCGAGTGGTATAAACACCCTACCGGTGTCAATAATTTCAACACCCTACTAATGTCAAAAGTGTACATACTTTACAATAATTCAGAGTATAAAACACACCACTGGTGTCCATAAATTTCGTGAGCCAATAGTCACAGAGATCGACATATTGGCCAATTTCTAACATTTTGATGCTCGTACACATATTTAGAAGTGTCAAAGTGGCATCATATATGGGGGCATAACAAAGTCAAGTAAGTCCCGCAAAAAAAAAAAAAACCCCAAAAAAGGCAAGGAAAAGAAAATCAAAATAAAAAAATAGAAAAAGCTTTTGGGATTTACATATTATATGCCCCTTCCATGAACACTTGAAAGTCAAAACCATTCAGACTCGTGACGAAAAATTACTGGCTACCTCTGCTAATAGGCCTAAGAGATAATTTTGGGTGTACCTCAAGAATGTGCATTGCTCATCCTCTCAGCCGGCAAGGTCTATACACTCAAGCTAGACTATACATCAAATTAATTAGCCTTCCAAGCCAAAGGGCATTTGTCTCCCAAGTGCGAAGAAATAACACAAGAACCCATAAAAGGAAGGGCTCCCAAGCCAAGAATATCGGCATACACTTAAAGTACATCCCCATGATGATCCCCATTATCCAACACTTGCAAGTCAAAGAAGAACCCTCCCATGATAATAAGACTCGAGAATTATGACTGCCACATAAAAGTCTTCAACCTTCATCAGTTCGAGATCATATGAGAAGTAGAAGTCTTCATCGTACGAATACCCTCTTTATCCATCATTTCAAGGTCAAACAAGAACTCAACAAATGAGAAGATTTTCATGTTGAGTTTTTACTTAAATAACCTCAGTTACGTCACTACCAAGCTTACCCCTCAAAACCAAAAGTTAAAGACATGGGGGCAACATGATTCAAAATATGCCCACAAATATACCCAAGATAAACTACCATTATCAAGGAAAATGAGACTTCCTCAACAAGGATCTACCCTATCCATTAACCGTCTCATACTTTGGGGAAAGCAAATATCCCTCCACGAGGAACTTTTCACGAAAAGAAAATATGATCGCCATGATCTATCGATCAGACTCATACTTAGGGGGCAAGCCGAAAACCCCTCAATATAAAGCTTCATATGACTAAGCCCAGACGTCACAGGGATTTCCTTTACCCACCTTGCTTGAGGAAAGCAGAATTTCCATAATATGAGGACTCTTACAATAGGAGACTTACCAAGCAAGAGCCACCTTTCAGGGTAGTTTGAGAACTTTCACTCCGGGACCAAACAAAGATCGCTCGAACTCTTCCCAAGCAGCCTATACCTTGTACACATTTTCCCCATCAACATGGTAATGAGAATCTTGATAGCAGCTGAAGTATCGTATACACAAAGCACCCATAGGATTGAGTGAGAGTGATTTGAAAGTGAGAATGAGAGTGAGAGCTTATGAATATTCTCGTGGCTTTTTTTTATTTTTTTTATACAAGATGGCAATAACCACACAAGAAATCATTTTTATCATATTGCACACACATCCCTCAAGCGAGGCATTGATTTCAAAAATAAGGTTCTCATTATACTTTCTCAAATGAAATTTCTTTTCCCAAACATTGTTTGCATTCGTTCTAAGTCAAGATTGGTAAAAGTCGCACTTTGTTCCTAAGAATGGAAGACAAAAAACATATTCTCGGGGGCAAGATAGTGCCACTCAGAAAGAAAGAAGAAAGTGGTTCTACAAACCCCTCAAATCATGACTAAACGGGAAATCTCAGAGATCTTGCATCAATATGTTCAAGCTACTAAACTAGTCAATCAAACTGTCCTTCAACGAAGTATTTTGTACCTCATACCCAAGTCAATCGAGCATGTCTAGAAAACCGACATCAACAAGACAATACCCGGGATGACAGATTCCTCTTATCCAAGCATGACATGCTCGCGTATAAACAAGATCAATCAAACCAAAGGAGCACATTATCCCTAGACCACCATGCTACAAAAACCTCCTATAGAATCAATCAACCTACCTACCAAGCACATCCCATGGATAAAATATTGTATGGGTAACTCATCAGTAATCAAACACCAGTTTCCAAGGTGGAGAAAGCAGAAGACCAACCTTTCATCAGTCCCCATAAGTGACTTACCTTGGGCACACTAAGCAGAAAAAGAGCAAATATTAGATGGAGAGCCTAGTACCTCGAGATGATGCAACACGCCAAAGGAAGAATGTATTCACGACGAAAACATGCTACTCCAGTGCGAGCACAACTAAGGATTAAGTTTACTATAAGGGACTGACATATTTTTCCTTGTGGATTGATTTAAGAGAATTCATAAAAAAAACATCAAGACCATGATGAGAGATTATACTCTTTCTTTTGCATACCCTCAAGAAATCATCCTATAATTCATCATACAACCTTTTTCAAATGCTCTTCACATGCACTTCAAACTAATCATATGACATCATCTCAAGAAAATTCATAGCCAAATAAAATATCAATCATTCTCAAAACTCGTTTAAAGTGGACCTACATTTTTATCAGCATATATCACATCATACCATATCATATCATATAACATCTTGCATTTGCCCACAAATACGAAGTTTAGACAATCTTTACCAAATCAAGTTTGACACATACCAAAGATCTAGCTAGACTCAACAAATTGCTTGATTCAATAAGTCATATCAAGCAGACAACTCTATGCCACTCGTTATCGAGTTAAACTTTCACATATCCTCTTGAACTTTATCTCCATGACACACAAAATCAATTAAGCTATACCGCCACAAGGATCAAACGAAATAAAAACATGTTATACCGCCATGAGAAAAACCAAACCAGACTATATCGCCATGAAAAAAATCAGCCTACACCTCCATAAAAATATAAATCCAAAATTAGGCTATATCACACTCTTTCTCTCACATATTTTCCATAGCACGACATTCGCATTCATTAACATTACTCATGATTGTCTCACAAAACACTCTCATACACATTATCACCATGCATTAAAATGTCTAGCAAGTCATATCCCGAACAACCCCAGAGCTTTGCAGTCAATAAATGTTTAGTTTGTCTTACCACGAAAAAATTTTGATTGCCTTGTCAGAACAAATGTCTAGCGTGTTATGCTTCGGACAACCCCATAAGTTATGTCATCAATAAATGTTTAGCATGTC